CTCTTTGGGCTACCCCCACCGCCACCAGGAGCCAACCCCGCCGACTACTACCACCAAATGACGCTGATGGCCGGCCACCCTAACCCCTACGGGGACCTCCTGATGCAGAGTGGGGGAGCAGCCAGCACAGCCCATCTCCACGATTACCTCAGCCCCGTCGATGGTGAGTAGTGGTCTGGGTCCTCCCTGGCACAGCTGAAATTTTGGGACAGATGGATGGGGCTATCCTCCAGGTGGAGGTTGCTGTACATGGTCCCTCTGCCCTGCCAAAACCCACCGGTGCTGAACTATAATTTTTGGCTTAAAAGGTTGCCTTGTTCCATATATATATATAAAAGGTACATAATTTGAAATACATACGTTGTGGCCTCTTGGGGGGGGGATGGCATGGCTGCTGCACGGGTAGGGGATGAGCTGGTCCAGCAGACAGGGCGTTGCTGCCGTCCCGCTGTCTTGGCCACGGGTGACCACACTGTCCCTGTGGACAAGCTCCATCTCCAGCTCCCCATCCCACCCTGTCTGCCCCTGAATTTAGCCTACTTGGTGTCTGGGACAAAGGCTGGCCATTTCCATGCATAGCCATGCTCAGCACAATGGACTCCTCATCTTGGTTGGGACCTCTCAGGTCCCCAAGGAGAAAAAATATGTTAACGGGGAGCCACGGTGGAGACGATATGTTAGTACTTTGCGGGAGAAAAAAATTGCAGGAATGTGGTATTTATGCTAGTATCAGGCATTATAAGCCCAGAGAGTTCTGGCTCCTGGCTAAATGAAGAAGAAATAAAATCATGTTAGGCGCTGCAGTCCTGAGTCACTCCCATGGCCTGAGCGCTGCCCTGGTGAGATGGGTAAAATCTGTGTGGAAACGTATCTGAGGTCCAAGTGAATTTTAGAGCCATTAGAAATTTCTTTCCTTTCACTTCATGCCACGTCTTGTAAGAACTGGAGTTGCGCAGATATTACAGAGGGACGTTTGGGGATTATTTCTGCTGCAAGAAAGAGAAGTCTCGGCTCGACTTTCAGATACCGGCTCCTGTTTCCTGGGCTGCCTTCAGATTTGCCTGTGGACCATTATAATTTTTGGAGTGGAGATCTGCATCGTTTCATTACCGCTTCAAAGTTTCTGTTGTTGAGCTTTTAAGATGAAAGTCTTTGCAGTCTCACTGCTTCATAAAGTGACTGGTTTAGAATGATAAAAGCTGCTCTGGCTGTTCAGTGATAGGGGCTTATAGGTATTTCTAATGAAAAAACAATTTCTTGTCTGCAGCTGCTGCGGAAGTTTTACCTGAATAGTCATTTTCTGCTGCCAATTCCTAGATTGATCAGGAACCTGGATCCTAGTCTGAAAAGGAGAGCACATGCTCCTTGGTACCGTCCTGCCATTAACACCCAAAATATATTCCGACCTTCTCTGCTACAAAGCAGCTGGTCAGTAAGACTTCTCTGTCTTCCATCCAAAGGGTTAATGTTTGTGGTTATAGCAGATGGGTGCAAACCAGCCCTGCCAAGTTCTCCTCGGGCTCGTGAACAAGACTCCTTCCTCCTTGCCGCCTTATTAGTCCATCTCTGACCAGCAGTGCCTCACTGAAGTGCCAGATAAACAGCCAGTAAGGGAAGCAAACACAACTGTTTTCATGCTAGCACAGGCTGACTCCTGGCACACCAAGATACTCATCCTCTGGTTTGCTGAAGATTAGTTTTTATCTGAAGTCAACTGAGATATTCCCTGTGGCAGAAGATTCTCTTGCTGCTTGCCTTCTCCTGAAAACAGCTCTAGAGTAAATCACATATCAAAGGTCCTGGTTTCATGCAGCCAAGCTCATAACCATTATTCACTGGAAAGCCAGAACTCGCCGAGCATTTATTTTGATCTTTTGATAAAGCTTTGTTGATGAGTACCTGGAAAGCCTTTTCTGGGCCTTCACATGCTCTGAGTGAGATGAAACTTTCAAACGTCATGAGGATATGACACGAGACACCAGAAGGCTACTTTTTAAAAATCCAACAAGGAGCAGCAGCCAGTCTCTGGTCTACACGTTCAGGTTTATCCACCAGCTGGAGAGAATAGAGAATTGTGCATTATCAAGGCGGAGGCTAAAATGGATGGCTCTGAAACACTGGCTGAGGAACCACTCTCCCTCTCTTTTTAGAAAGTTATTTCAAAAATTTTAATCAGCAGGGACTAAGTAAATAGTTGAACAGTTAATTTAATAAAGCATCCTCTTATGGTGCTTTTCTGAGACAAGAATATCAGTAGCATGCATAAAACCTCAGTGAGTCACCACCTCACAGCATCTTTTCTTGAGAGAACCCTTTTCTTTCCAGAGAGCCCCAGAACATAAGAACTTTACAAGAATTAGTTTGCTGAAAATGCAGGTAGCTGCTGTCAAACCACATGCAGCACCATCACACATCTGTGATAACCCTGGAACCTGCAAAAGAAAAAGAAGCAGATAAGCATGTATTAAAACTGGCCTATGCAGTGTCACATTACCTCCAAACATCTGCAGTCCATGGGAGCCCTAGACACTGGGTATGGTAGTTCTTCCACAGACACATACCTGGGCCCTTCTGGTTGCTGTAATTGCATTTCTTGGAGAATTTCTTGATGCCTCCATGTTTGTTAGTGTTTTTTCATCCCACCAGGTGTCTAAGGTCTAGGGCATCAATGTCGGCTGGAGCTTGTTGGAATCGACATTGTGTCAGGTCTGCTGAGTGTTTCAGTGGTGACTGAGCCAGGGTGCCCCAGAGCTGCATCTCTTTAGCACGGTTTTCACTGTGCAGCTAGAAGTAGTTAAACCACTGAAATAGACCAAATGTAAGTTTTATGCACCAGACTGCTGGGGTCTTCAGACCAGTGCCAGTGGAGACCAAATAACCCTTCAGTTAGCTGTCCTGTTTCATTCTGTCATTCAAACAGGGGCTCTAAATCCAAGAGTGGAGTTTGAATCCAGGCCTAAAACCATTTTCTGGAAAGCCTACACTTTCAAATCAAAAGTTAATTGCTTTCCAATGTCATAAGATTGGTGGTGAGACACTTTTGAGACTAATTTACAGGATCTATTCACCAGATCAAAACAATCTTTTGCATTTCTATTCTAGAAGTGGATGCCACATGGTGGATTATTCCAGGTGACAGAGTGGTTACACAAGAGCATCACTGGGGCAGTAAAGACTTGTGGGGAGCACAGATGAACCTGGAGATGACTACAACTTTCTGAGCATGTTTAGTGCATCCAACTTTTTTTTTTTTGTAAGCACAAGGGTTCCTGTGATTACCATCAGTCCTTCAGGAGGTGCCGTTTGCTCCCAAAAGGAGCATACCCAGACTGACTCAATGCTTGTACTGTTATAGCCCTGTACATCAGAAGATCTCAAAGTACTGCACAAAACAAAGCTGTTTCATCACTGGAAACCCCAAAGAGAAAGGAGATCATATGAGCAGTGATCAGAGCAGTGGCAGCTCTGGGAACAAGACCCCGGTCTTCAGAATGAGGACTCTCATGGCCGGGATGGGAAGCAGAGATCACCTTTAAATCCATCATTTCTGTTTGCATAGCGTCAAAAGTGTGAGTGGGTTGTCCATGCTGAGTCAGGGGTTGGGGGAAAAAAGTCTTGAGTTCAACTTACGCCCAAGTGGCGCTGCACAGAGGTGGTCACTCAGGTCAAGAGGGCTGCATAGATGTGTTTGTGCAACCTTACAGTTACCGACAGCAGGGATGACCCTGCAGTGCTGTCATGGCATTTCATCCAGTTGTGGAGCTGGGCGGGGGGGATCCCTGCCCTGTCTCTTGCTGCCTGGTGCATGCCAGTCACGAGTGTCTTGATCATGACCAGCAGTTTAACTGGGAAAAGGCTTTGTTCAGCCCAGGAGAGCCAACCTGCTAGTGGCTGGCGCAGTTGCCTGGAATGTGGGCAAATCATCAAGCAGGACTTTATTCCCCCAAGTCAAACAGTGATTCAGCTTCACTGGCTTCTCTCAGACAGTGTTGTTGGAATCTTTTTACTTCAAGTAAATGATTTAATAGCCATTGGGGTAAGGAGCAGGGCTGGCAGCGCAGCCCAGTGGTTACTGCAGTCAGCAGGCATGTGTCCGTGAGAGGTGAGCTCAGGACACTCCTCCAGCAGGTTTATGCCAAGCAACTGCTCCATCAGGATGGACAGAAAGAGCCCAGCTTCACGGCATCCTAGGAAAGAAGTGCCTTGTCTAGGGCTTGAGGGACCAGCAGCTCTGGGTTTGCAGGCTGGATATGCAGATGACTTCACCAAAAGAGCCAGCTGTTGGCTACTCTGGGCAGATGGTGCGCCCTGTAGTCGCTTCCTTAAAAACTCTGAAAGATCTTTTTTTTTGTTGTTGTTTTCTTTGTCCCAGCACAGAATGGAAACTTGCTGAAATCTCAGAAAAGGTTCAGAGAATGGGAAAAAATTTCCCACCCGTTTCTAGCCAGCAATGCTATTTTCCTCCCCAGAAAAATATGTGCAGAAGAGAGAAGTCCCAGAGCATCCCATAAGCACTCCGTCTGGAATCCGCTGCACTCTGGTTTCTAAAGAATTCAATTTACATATGCAAGTTGGGTCCTCTTAACAGTTACCTTGTGGATTGGGAGTAGAAGAATGCAGCCTTGTCTTTCAGCGAGGATTTGAGGGAAGCATTAGTATTCCTTGAACTGCAAAGCTGATCGGGACGGGTAGGGAAGAAAGAAAGGTCCCAGGACAGCATCTTGTGCCAGAACAAATGTCCAGCATCTGCTGCAGTCTAAGTAAGCTGTATGTTGCCACTGCAAAAGGGGAGAGGGGAATAAGGAACTGGTTATGCAAAGAGTGTTTGTAGTTTATTGCGGTTGGTTATTGATTAAGGGATCATCCTGTGGTTTTTAGCTGTCCTTGGTTTTAATCTGATGATGGGAGGAGGGAGATATTTCTGTGTGCGTTGGTGGAGTTTTCTTGATGAGCAGCCAGGAAGAGGGACCATTTTGATAACGCTGTATTTATCCCGAGGCTTGGCCATGGGATGCAGGGGAAGCCGTGGCTCTGGCTGTGTCTCGGTGAGGAGGGGGATGCAGCCCACGTGCCTTACGGGCACAGCCATTTGGAAGCAGATTCCCTCAATGTCCCTGTGCAGTCGCTTGTCCGTAAAGAGATGCCTGAGATTTCCTTGCCCTG